TTTTTGTTATTATTCTAAATCATATTATTTTATAATATATTTGAGATTATTTGTTACTAATACATAGAAATGTTACTAATTTTTAATGTTGATTTTGTATTCTGAAACATTACTCAATTCATTTACGAATTCTAGTAGATTTCTTCTAAGGACTTTCAGGGTTTTTTTTAATGTAAGATTATGTCATCAGCAAATACAGGAAATTTCACTTTCACCATGGGAGGATAGAGCAAGACCTTCAAAAGATCCTGATAAATTGACCTTTAACTTCCTAGCTTCCAGAACTGTGGGAGAAATATTTTTGTCCTTATAAATTACTCCATCATAGATATTCAGTTGTATCACCACCAAACAGACTAAGGCAGTTCGTGACCAGTATATTAATTATTGTTATTATTATTAATGTTATTATCATTGTGTATCTACAAAGTGAAGTACTATAATCGGTGGCCATAACAAGGAGTAAAAATCTTAGCAGATGAAAAATTTAGACAATTCATTCAACAATTTTCTTAGTTACCTGTTTCTGCACTTGATACTATCCTAGATACTGGGGATCTGATAGATGGAAAAAAGATAAAGTTCCTGCCATAAGGAAACTTGAATTTATTAGCTATAGAACATCTTCACTGCAGATCACTTCAATGAGGAAATCCTAACAACAACTGAAAACGACATTATAGTATGATGAATATAATGAGAAGCCAGAGCACATGGAGGAGGATTTTAAAGGGAAGGGACATGTAACCTGGTTTTGTGAGAACAAAATTATGGAAAGATTCTTGGAGGTGGTAATGTCGGTGCCAAGCCTAGAAAGACTTATTTGTTGATTTTTAAAGATTCTACATAATACCTGTTAACTCTATGAGGTAGGGAAAGTGAAGCATATAGGGGGCTATATTACTTGCCCCAAATCACAAAAGTAGTCACTGATAACAAAGTGCATGCCATTAACTGCAACATTCTTCGCTTCTTCTCCCTCCTATAGTGTTTTTGTAAGCTATGTTTGGGTAAGCTGGAAGTCAAAGGAATGTGGTGTAGGAGAAGTCATTACTCCATGAAAGTCTTAAAACTCTTTACTTTACTGGAGTAGTGAAAAGAACCTTCTAGAAAGATCAAGAAAGAAAATGGAGGGTAATTATGAATATACTAGAAAGCCAGGTGAGAGATTTTCCTATTTGTGAAAGTGTGTTCCCAGTTGGCAGTCATCTATTTTTATATGACTACACAAAATAATGCATTATTGTTAAGGTATCAGTATTAATATATTTTACTGACTCTAATATACAGATCAAAGAACATGGTTATGTTTATAAAGGATATGCATTGCCTGTTTAATCCAGAAATAGCTACATTTAGATTCCCTCTCATGTGTTTCATAATTAATTTAATTACAATTTTAATCATGGATATCAATGCTTAAGTTATCTCTTTTGTAAGCAGATATACATGATATTCTTGTTAGAAATGCCTAGCATACATAGGTAAGTTGAGACTGCAGAAGGGTAATCCAAATGATAAAAATAGAGCTATACATCCAGGAAAAAGATCTAATTCTAGTTTTTATTTTATCCCGTGTGTAGATTTTTGTTTTCCCAGTGTACACAACAGATCTGAACTAGGTTCTCAGTTACATATTGTATTAGTACATTTTATCACCCCCATAAAGATACTACTATAGTCTGGGTAATTTATGAACAACGGAGATTTTATAGACTCACAGTTCTGCATGGCTGGCAAAGCCTCAGAAATTTTATAATTTTATAAAGAATGCAACAGACTTCTGCCTGGACATCCAGGTACTTTGATACATCCTCTAAAATCCATGTTCCCAAACCTCAACTCTTGACTTTTGTGCACCACAAGCCCAACACCAACCATGTGGAAGCCACCCTTTTAGCCACAACTGTTGCTGAAGCAACTGGAATGCAGGTTGCCATGTCCAGACGCTACAGAGAGCAGCAAGGGCCCTGGGCCCAGTGAAAGTATTTTTTTCTCCTAGGCTTCCTTGCCTGTGATGGGAGGGGCTGCAGCCAAGATCTCAGACATGCCCCAAAGACATTTTCCCCATTATCTTCATAATTAACATTTGGCTTCTCATTATTTATGCACATTTCTGCAGTCTGCTAAATTTCTCCACCAAAAATGATGCTTTCTCTTTATCACATCATCAGGCTGCAAATTTTTCAAACTTTTATGCTCTGCTTCCCTTTCAAATGTATGTTCCAATAGCAAACCATCTCTTAGTGAATGCATATAACTGAATGCTTTCAGAAAAATCCAGGTTACATCTTGAATGCTTTGCTGCTTAGAAATTTCCCCCACCAGATATCCTAAATCATCTGTCTCAAGTTCAAATCATCCCATTTATATAACACTCTCAAAATAACAAAATTATATAGGCTGAGAATAGTGGCCACTAGGGATGATGAATTTGAGAGGACAGTTGGGTGTGGTTATCACAGGAAAAGTGCGAGATCCTTGTGTTGATGAAACTCTTCTGTATTATTATTATGGTGGTTGTCCCTTGAATGTAGTCATATGATAAAAGTGAATGTAACTAAACACACACACAGACACACATAAGTGAGCACATGTAAAATTGGTGAAATCTGAAGATGGATTGTATTAATGCCAGTTTATCGGTTGTGATGTTATACTATAGTGTTGCAAGAATTTATCATTGGAGGAAACTCAAAAAAAGAAACAGTGAGGTATCTCTCCATATGATCTCTTCCAATGGCATGCTTACAGGTACATTAAAAGATGTTCAACATCATTAGTCATAAGATAAATGCCTATTAAAACCACTATATTACTTCATACTTGCGAAAAGTTTGAAGGAAAAAGAACCCTAGTACACTGTTGTTGGAAATGTAGATTGGTATAACCATTACATAAAACAGTATGGAGGTTTCTAAAGAAATGAAAATTTAACTGCCATATGATCCACTAATATTTCTTCGGGGTATAAACTCAAAGTAGATAAAAATCACAGACTCATAAAATTGTCGGCATGCTCATGCTCATGCTCATTCCCAATAGCCACGATATTGAAACAACTTAAATGCCCTTCAATGGTTGAATAGATTTTAACATGTGATGTGTGTGTGTGTGTGTGTGTGTGTGTGTGTGTGTGTGTGTTATAGTTCTACAGAGCTAAATGTTACCGAGCCTTAAAAAAAGATCTTGGCATTTGGCACAATATGGATAAACCTGGAGGACATCACACTAAGGTAAATAATCCAGACAGAAACAAAAATTATTTTGATGATCTTATATGTGGACTATATAAATAGCGGGCTAAAATAGACAAGGTAGAGAATAAAGCATTGGGGTTGTGAGAAGAAATGGGGAGATGTAGGTCAAAGGATACAAAATAGCAGATATGTAGGATGAACATGTGTAGATATCTATATGCACGGCGGGACTAAAACTGATGAAATTTTGTCATGAATTTTATTAAATCAGTATATTTTAGCTGCTATTGACACACACTTAGAAACTGAGGAGATATGCTAATCTGCTTTACCATAGTAACCATTTTAGTTTATCTATCCCATAATATCATGTTTTAAACCTCAAATATAGACAATAAAATTTCTTCAAAATAGCAATAAAAAATAGAAATAAAAAAATCTAACACACTTCTATGTACTAACATTGAACATGTGGATGTCAAAATTAAACATGTGATACTATAAGCAGTCACTTGAAAGAAAATGTAATACTAAGGTATAAATTAAAACATGGACCACAAGGTAAGTGCAAATATTAAATATCAAAATATCTTTCAAAAATCTACACAATACAAAATTGTACCCATTTTCAAAGGAAAAACAGATTAGACATACATAGATGCATCTTAAAAACAGGGCTCAGTGAAAGATTAAGTATTGACAATGGATGCATAAATTGAAAACAAATGTCCACAAACCATATGAAACATGTATTAACACTCATACATAGAAAATGATGAACATTAACACATTACAACGATTGCCAATGTAGACAAGAGAAATAAAGCTGGGTCATGGAAGTAAAGGAGAGTGGATGAGTAAATAAACAGGAGCGGGTCTTGAGCAATTAACCCAAGGAATGTACCTCAGCCCTCTACACTTGATGCCGAAACCACTCTACTGTATTTCCTCCAATAAAAACAGTTTTTTTTTCCATGGAAGAATTCCTTTTTTTTTTCTTTTTTTTTTAAATTGCATTTTAGGTTTTGTGGTACATGTGAAGAATGTGCAATCCTTAATCACTGACATTCTATGGAAATACTGGTGTATGGAAGTTTTAATAAAAATAACAACTTTTACTTGTATGATTGTGTTCAAATTCTCTGTAGACTATGCTTTTGTTTATTGCCTGCAGTAGACAATGGCCACTCCCATTGTCCCACATTGGGTAGGCTCCTGCTCCACCTAGAGTTTCTTAACAAAGAAGTGCCCTAGTATTGGGACCATGTCCTGCAAACACCATCATTTTAGTGTGTGTGGTGTGCTGTTTTACTTTCTGTAGGGTGAAGTTCTTGGTCTTTTTGAGGGTGTTCAGTTGCTCAAAGAATTGGGTGACTTAGAAAACACACTACCATGAGGTATATGTCCTGGAGGTGATGATTTCGATGTCTTCATTTTGGAAAGAGTGTCACGGTCACCTACATACAATGAAGCTCTTTTTATGTGCCCTTCTAAATATGTACATGTTCCAAGAAACACCAAAGCCTCTTCTTTGTCTCCTGTGGGATAAAATTTTAAGAAAAAAATTTGTCTCCAGGAATCAGTCCTTCCCCAAGTCCTTATTTAGAATGTCTGCTTCACCTGTGGGTCTGCCCACCAACCCTACAGGACCTCATATCCCTCTCTTTTCGAATGCCTACCTCTCCCCTTCCCTTCTTCCTCACCATCAGAAAACAGGCAGAGAGATACTCAGTCATTAGCTCCTCAAAATTTATTTTATTGTTATTATTCCTTGTCCAATTTGGTTTCTCCACGTGTGGACTAATCCTGCCCACCCTCCTGTGAAGATCCTTCCCATGGGTCGAGGTCTTCATCCTTCTGTGAAGATCCTTCATATGAGTCGAGCTCTTCGTCCTTCTGTGAAGATCCTTCCCATGGGTCGAGGTCTTCGTCCTTCTGTGAAGATCCTTCACATGAGTCGAGGTCTTCGTCCTTCTGTGAAGATCCTTCCCATGGGTCGAGGTCTTCATCCTTGTGTGAAAATCCTTCACATGAGTTGAGGTCTTCGTCCTTCTGTGAAGATCCTTCCAATCGGTCGAGGTCTTTGTCCTTCTGTGAAGATCCTTCCCATGAGTCAAGATCTTCGTCCTTCTGTGAAGATCCTTCCCATGAGTCAAGATCTTCGTCCTTCTGTGAAGATCCTTCCCATGTGTCGAGGTCTTCTTCCTTCTGTGAAGATCCTTCCCATGAGTCAAGATCTTCGTCCTTCTGTGAAGATCCTTCCCATGGGTCGAGGTCTTCTTCCTTCTGTGAAGATCCTTCACATGGGTCGAGGTCTTCTTCCTTCTGTGAAGATCCTTCACATGAGTTGAGGTCTTCGTCCTTCTGTGAAGATCCTTCCCATGAGTTGAGGTCTTCATCCTCTTGTGAATATCCTTCCCATGAGTCGATGTCATCGGCCTCCTGTGAACATCCTTCAGCTGGGTCATCTAGGTCTTCATCCTCTTGTGAATATCCTTCCCATGAGTCTAGGTCTTCGTCCTTCTGTGAAGTTCCTTCACATGGGTCTAGGTCTTTGTCCTCCTCATCTTGGATTGGATTGATGGAGTTGTCTCGGGACTGGTCATTCTCTATTTGATTTGAATTTATTTTCTTACGGTTCCTGTAGTAAAACACTAATATTGTTGGATATTGTGATTTTTTGGTCTTCTTCAAACTTTGTTCAGAGGCTAAAACTCTGTTCAGTGTCTCCAGCGTCTGGTAAGAAAACAGGGAGAGGCCAGGAAGACGTTATTTTTGGTGAATAGGGTAGAGGCCGAATAGCAGTGGTGGCAGGGGGTTGGTTTATGAGAAGAGACGCAGATTGAGAAAGGGGTTTATGCCAGAGAAGAAGAAGGTGGAATCACAGGGTAGGGATCTATGGGGAAGAAGAAGAGGAGCATGGCTAGGGTCATCTGTGTTAGTTCAAACTGCACCATTTTGTAAGCTCTTTGCGATTTTGCAGACCTTGGTCAAAGTGAAACATTCCATGGGCGTTCAGGCTGTGAGAATCATCCTGCCTAACCATCTGAGCACAGGGCAGACAAAGGCTCAACTAAATAAACATGCCCATCACATCTTGGTTGGCAAAGATCTAAGGAACACCACAATGATATTCCACCAGAAAAAGGGCCAAACCACCTGGTCATAAGAACATCTTATCAATATCCTGCTGGGCAGCAAACCATACTGCTCAGATCCCTCCCATCCCTATCCGTAAGTACCCCAGCCTGTAAGCAGTGGTGGGCTCTGGCCTTAAACTGGTCCCTGACTCCCACAGGTGTCTGCAATATACCTGTGTTGCTGTTTGAGCCGCCCCCTCCCTATGTGTTTTTCTTTCACTCTCACCTTCTTTTCAAAACCTAAAATTTTGGTGCCAAAACTCAGAATGGTGATTGGGTTCTAATGAGTAAGTTTTCTCGTGCAACCCAGGAAGCAGCAAGCAGCACAAATTAGACCCGGGCCTACTTCCAGATCCTGAGTGGACTCCCTGTTCCCAGTGCCGTTCCCCCTATTTCTCTCATCTTCTCCAGCACTGGACTAACCTCCAGATATTGATCAACCTTTCCATCTTATGTTTCCTCCCTTCCCCTTTCCAGGCAGCTGCAACAAGGATCACCTCCATTGCCGAACATCACATCCAGCACTGGGCTTCAGTTAGTGGGTGACTCTCCCTCTTCCTCCTTTCTGGATTCCTCTCTATTTCTGCTGGTTCTCCAAAAAGTTTCAGTGCTGTGTGAGACGTCTCCCCGGTCACCAGGTAATCACAGCCTGGCTTCTTAGGGGACACCCTAAGACCACTTGCCACTCTGGCCACCCCAGCCTCCGGGGAACTGTGAATAGCTCCGGGGCTGCCCTGGCTCTCCAGATCTCTTCTCCCAGGATGAATCCAGTACTCACTTCCCTTTGGGGTATTCACTTCTCTCGGGAGCACTCGGTCCCCTCTGGGGTATTCACTTCCTTCCAGGGCACTCACTTTCCTCAGGGGTATCCACTCCCCTTCAGAGCATTCACTCCCCTCTTCCAAAATACAAAACTTCCAAATTGAACATAATCTAAAACAATTCAACTTCCAAATTCAACATAATCTAAAAAACTTTCTCCACAGCAATGGTAAATGATCTGAAGTGTTTTGCTTATCTCAATTCACAGCTCTCTCTCTCTCTCTCTCTCTCTGCCAATCCTGTTCACCTTTTCAAATCTTCCTCCTCCAAGAGAAATCCCCCAAAATGCCCCCTCCTCCAGGCAAGACTTCCTCCTCTGCATTTCAACCTGACCAACAAACCCCTTCCTCAGCCTTCCGCCCACCACCATTCTCTCCACCTTCTCCTTCCGCTCTGGCTCCTCCAACCCCTTGCTGTCACCCTGCATCCCACCTTCCTCTCCACCTCAAACCAGGTCTCATGCCCAAGCTGCTTTCTCTGAAATCCAGTCACATGCCTAGTGTTTATATGTAGGATACTACAATCTAAGACCAACATGTGCAACAGTGTGGGCATTGTTCAACTTCCTACTGGGAATTATGTCCAGAGCAAAAATAAAAAAAAAAAGGAGGCATTTGGATTGGAAGAGGAGAAGGACAACTATCTTCTGTCAAAGACTACATGAGAGTCTATGTAGAAAAGTCAATTTTAAAAAAGGCTTCTACAATCATAGAGGTTAGCAAGATTGACCATCTAACGAAACACTCCTATCACATCTTGCTGGGCAAAGTTCTAAGAAACACCACGACGACATCCCACTAGGAAAAGAGACAAACAGCCTGAACATAAAAACGTCTTAATTATCCTGCCAGGATCATAAAAACACCTTATCAATATCCTGCCTGGTAGCAAGCCATACCGCCCAAACCTTTCCCACCCATACCTGTAAGTACCATAGCCTGTAAGTAGCAGTGCGTTCTGACATTAAGGTGGTCCCGCACTTCCACAGGTGTCTGGAACATACCTGTGTTGCTGTTTGAGCCGCCCCCTCTCTGTGTGTCTGTCTTTCACCCTCACCTTCCCTTCAAATCCTAACAATCTTACCTTGTCACTTTTTTTGTTGTTGGATATACTCTTTATCTTGGTGCTTGAAGTTGGCTGTTTCATGTCTATGGATGTTTGTAGAATGTCTATACTAAGCTCTTCAAGAGTGCATACTTCCACAACTGTATTGAAGCTTGCCAGTAGGTTGTCCCAGAGCTCTTGCCTTCCCTATATATACCCTCCTGGTGACAAGGCAAAGCCACACCCTTGAGCTTTGTTTGATCATACAGGCAGTGTCCCAGCCAATGGCAGTCCTAGGATGGCTTTGACATCACAAAGTACCACCCCTGACAACTTCCTGGGCTTGGGGGGAAAGGATGAAAGGGTTGTAGAGAAAACCAAATGCTGCTGTTGTTTCAACATCCCCTGAAGATGCATCCCAAACTGATCTACCGCCGCTCCTCATTTCTCCATGTTTAATGTTCATGGTTCACGTGGATGTGAGAGGATGATTTCTTCAAGCCCTTCCCCATAGTCATTCCTCTTAAGTGATTCATTTCCTTGTCTTCCAGCACTCATCAGACACTAGTATTTTGGATGTCTCACCTCAAATCCCTCCAAGCTAATGTGACCCATTTAAAAGTTCCCTGTGCTCTTCATTCTTCCCAACACTAACGTTATGTTTCATCATTTTATTAAAGCCATTGTAACGGTGTGAAGAGATATTTCACTTTAGTTGTAATTTGCAATTCCCTAATGATTGGCAAGTCTCTTTATTTTAATGTACTTATTTTCCATTTGTATGCCTTTTACAAAATATCTATTCAGGTTCTTTGCTCACTTCTTAATGGCATTATTTGTTTTCTTGCTATTAAGTTTTTTGAGTTTCATATATATTTTGGGTATTAGCCCCTTATCAGATGTATGGTTTGCAAATATTTCTTCCATTTTGTGGGTTGTTAATTGCCTTTTTTTGCTTCGCAGAAGCATTTTCATTTAATGCCATTCTATTGGTCTACTTTTGTTTTTATTGCTTTTGTTTTCAGGATTATACCCATACAATCTTGCCATGAGCAGTGGGATGGAGCTACTTCCATATGCTTTTTTAGAAGTAGTTTTAGAGTTTCATGTATTCTGTTTAAGTATTCATTTTTTATGGCTGCATAGTATTCTATGGTGTATGTTTGTACTTCGTCTTTTCTTTATCCAGTTTATCATTGATGGGCATTTATGTCGATTTCATGTCTTTGATGTTGTGAAATATGCTGCAGTGAAAATACACGTTCGTGCCTTTATAATTGAGTGAGTTATATTCCTTTGGGTATATCCCCCAAAATAAGATTGCTGGATTGAATGGTATTTCTGCCTTTCTGTCTTTGATCATGCACTTTGCAGGGACACAGATAGAGCTGGAGGCAATCATTCTTAGCAAACTAAAGCAGGAACAGTAAACCAAACACAGCATGTTCTCACCTAAAATTGGGCACCAAAAATTGAGAGCATATGGACACACAGAGGGGAACAAAGCACACTCGAGTCTAATGGGGCATGGAAGGTAAGAGAAGGGAGAGGATCAGGAAAACTAACTAATGGATACTAGGCTTAACTTCTTGGTAATAAAATAATCTGTATAACTAGCCCCATTACACATGTTTACCTATGTAAAAAACATGCACATTCTGCACATACACCCCTCAACTTATAATAAAAGTTTAAAAAATCATCATTTTTTGTTTAATTTTGTATATGGTGAGAGAAAAAGGTGTAATTTCATCATGCTGCCTCTGTGTATCCAGTTTTATCAGTACCATTTATTGAAGAGGCTCTTCTTTCCCCATTGTATGTTCATTGTACCTTAATTGAAATCATTTGACCATAAATAGTTTAGTTTATTTTATGATTTTCTATTTTGTTCCATTTGTCTGTCTCTCTGTTTTTGTTAAAGGACCACGCAGCATTGGTTACTGTAGCTTTATAAAGTATGTTTAAGTCAAGGTGTGTGATGCCTTTGGCATTGCTCTTTTTGCTCAAGAAGATTTTGACTACGTAGAGTCTCTTTTGCTTCTATAGTAATTGAACTATTTTTGATGGCAGCAGCAGCCCATCTGGAGTGACGATTTCCAAGATGCCACAGCAGCAGGGAGATGCAGCCAGGGCTATACACTCCATTAAGCAGTCAGTACCCCTATCTCCATGGGCCTCCTACTTCACAGAGCAGGCAGGAGCTTCACTGCAGCTCCAGATTTGGGTGTCTCTGTGCTATTGGGAGCCTGGGAGGGTCTTTTACTCAGCAGGCTCAGAAGTGCCTTTTCTCCCTGATGGCTTCTCGCCATTGCCAGCAACTGCTCCAGTATCAGAGGTGTGGGTGAGGATGCACACTCCACAGAGCTTGCAGGAGCTGGGGATAAGTGGGAGCCCCACACCATTCGAGTTGTCTGGGTGAGAGGTTCCCAGGTGCAGCTTCAGCCATCCAAGCCTGACTGCAGACACAGGATTCTCTATACTCCTGAGGACCTGGGAAGGTCTCCTTACCCCTCACTGGCTCACAAGGGCCTGTTCTTGTTGCCAGGCCTCTCCTCACTATGAGAGCCCACTCTGATCTTGGAACAAAGTTGGGGCTGAGCTTGGATGCTATTGCAGCCTGGCTGGGTGAGTGCATGCTTGGGGAAGTGCTGACACTTTAGGCCCTGGTGACCTTGTCTCCCTCTGGATTTTGGGTACTGACAAATATAGGAGGGATGCTGAGGCAGTGGCAGGGGGGCAGCACAGTGCTGTCCCACAGGTGCCAGTTGGAACAAACAGTCCAGGCACCATGAATGGTCGTGGGAGGCAGACAGACTCTGGGTGGAAGAGGGGAGGTTCCCAGGGAATTCCCACCTTCAGGCTAGGAAAGTCCTGTAGCCTGTGGGCTCCTCTGCCAGTTCTGTTGATCAGAGGGGTAATGCATGGTGTTTTTTCTTGAGCCCGCCCATGGTTGTCCATGGACAAATCAGTATACAGTTTCTCTCCCTGAAGACCATAATAACCCCAGACTTAGAGCAGAGCATACATCAAGGCAACTGGTTGGAGAGAGGAGCTACCCCCTCTAGGCCCTTCTATCTCCTAAGAGCTGCAGACGTTGGGATGACATGCTTGCAGAGAGGAGCCACACTCTCGAAGGCCTCTTCTCTGCTGGTAGCAGCAGACGTTGGGACAATCAGTTGCAGAGAGGTGCTACATTCTTCAGGGCCTCATCTCTGCTGAGAGCTGAATACTCCTCAGAATGCTTCACTGGCAGAGAGGATCCACACACTCCAGGCCTCCTCTCTGCTGAAAGTTGCAGAGATACCAGGATGACCTGACTACAGAGAGGAGTGATTCACTGCAGGTCTTCTCTGAGTTCTTCTAACACTGAGTAAAGCTCCTCTTCATCTTGCTCAACCTCTACTTAGGTGTATACCTCATTCTTCCTGAACACAGGACAAGACCATGGGCAAAGGCACTGCTAGCCACAGAGGTTTTTAGCAAGAAAAGCAATACCTAAAAAATTTTAATACATTTCTCTTTCATTCATGTTAAAAACACCATTGGCATTTTGATAGGGATTACAGTAAGACTTTAGATTGCTTTGAGTAATACAGACATTTTCATAGTATTTATGAACATGAAAAAATTTCCATTTATTTGAGTCTTTTAAATTTATTTTATCATTGTTTAACAGTTACCCAGGTATTTTACCACTTTAGTGGAATTTACACCTATTTAATTTTTTTGTTGCTACTCTAAATCATATTATTTTATTATATTTTTGAGATTATTTGTTACTAATACATAGAAATATTGCTAATTTTTAATGTTGATTTTGTATTCTGAAACTTTACTCAATTCATTTGTCAATTCTAATAGATTTCTTCTAAAGACTTTCAGGTTTTTTTTTATGTAAGATTATGTTATCAGCAAATACAGAAAATTTCACTTCCACCATGGAAGGATAGAGCAAGACCCTCATCAGATCCTGATAAGTTGACCTTTATCTTCCTAGTCTCCAGAAATATGGGAGAAATATTTTTGTACTTATAAATTACTCATCTTAGATATTTAGTTTTATAACCACAAAACAGACTAAGGCAGCTCATGACCGATATATTGATTATTATAATTACTGTTAATATTATTATCATTGTGTATCTACAAAGTGAAGTACTATAATCGGTGGGCATATAAAAGGAGTAAGAATCTTAGCAGATGAAAAATTTAGACAATTCATTCAACAATTTTCTTAGTTACGTATCTCTATACTTGATACTATCCTAGACACTGGGGATCTGATAGATTGAAAAAAGATAAAGTACCTGCCATAAGGAAACTTGAAATTATTAGCTGCAGAACATCTTCCCTGCAGATCGCTTCAATGAGGAAATCCTAAAAAACAACTGAAAATGACATTATAGTGTGATGAATATAATGAGAAGCCAGAGCACATGGAGGAGGAATTTAAAGGGAAGGGACATGTAACCTGGTTTTGTGAGAACCAAATTACGGAAAGATTCTTGGAGGTGGTAATGTCGGTGCCAAACCTAGAAAGACTTATTTGTTCATTTTTAAAGTTTCAGCATAATACCTGTTAGGTGTCTGAAATTGTTCTAAGTGCTTTACAAATAAGTTATCATTAATTTAATTTAATTATCCTGATAACTCTATGAGGTAGGAAAATGAAGCATATAGGGGGATATGCTACTTGCCCCAGGTCAGAAAAGTAGACACTGATAACAAAGTGCATGCCATTAACTGCAATGTTATTTGCTGCTTCTCCCTCCTATAATGTTTTTGTAAGCTGTGTTGCGGTGAGCTGGAAGTCAAAGGAATGTGGTGTAGGAGAAGTCATTACTCCATGAAAGTCTTAAAACTGTTAACGTTACTGGAGTAATAGAAAGAACCTTGTAGAAATATTAAGAAAGAAAATGGAGGGTAATTATCAATATACGAGAAAGCCAGGTGAGAGATTTTCCTATTTGTGATAGTGTGTTCCCAGTTGGCACTCATCTATTGTTATATGACTACACAAAATGATGTATTATTGTTAAGGTATCATTATTAATATATTTTACTGACTCTAAGATACAGATCAGAGAACATGGTTATGT